TCTCTGAGCCTCAACTAGGTCAAATGATGCAGCGTGTCTGGAGACAGTTAGTGCCATGAGGCTCTACACAAATGTACACACACAACAGGGCATCTCCCTCTGACTCATTCCCTCTCTCTCGTTCTCTCTCTATCCCCAAAGAACCACTTGGCCTCTGCCGTTTAGGGCAGATCAGTCCAGGCCAACCCCAACATGTGGTTTAGGCCCTAATCTGCTCCTCCCAAACCCCTACCTCCCTTCTTCCACTTCCCGAAAGAGAGCCTGTCTCTGTGTGGCTGTCTTGGTGGGTGATACCCCCCCACCCCCACCCCTTCTTCCGCTCGGGTCTGCCAGGGAGTGCCCGTCTGCCCAGTGTGTGTTCAGGTGCCAGCGGTTTCACAAGAACACTGAGACTCTTGTGTATGTGTGTAGAGTGAGAATCAGAGTTGTGTGTCAAAGACATTTTTTACGAGTTTTGTGGCTTTCGGTGTTTATCTTTGAACATGCATGTTAGTCTCTATGCATATAAAAAAATTACACTCTTTCTCTTGCAGAAAAGTAGAGAAAAAAATTCTCAATCTGCACTCGTGGGCAGGTCAATTTTTTTGTCCAATCAAATTCTTTAGAATGACCCACAAATGAAAATTCTGTCATTATTACTCACCCTCATTAAAATTAAGAACTTTTTGATTGTTTTTTTTTTCTGTGGCTCCATTGACAGCTACTCAACCAGCAGTTTGGTGCTTCAAAAAGTTCATAAAGAGATCGTGAAACGAATCCATTTGAATTCACTTGAACAGATTTAATTAAGGCTTTTATTTACGTACATAAACAGAAGCTCCACTAAACCTGCTCGGTTCTTCCTGAAGCTCAAACTTGCTGCGTAACACGAGAATGAACCTCATTGTTCTCACACATCAAGCAAACAGCCTAAATTCAATCTGTTCATCATATAAAGTGTCTGTGATTTAAATTAAAGCTGTTTGTGAACAGGGACAAGTCTGTCAGTATGTCTATAGCTCAAACTTCCTGTTTTAAAATGCGTCACCAAAAGGAAGAAAATTGTGTCAAGTCAATTCATGGGGTTTTTACATTAGTAGTCTACTTTTGGCTCTCTTTGCCGTTGTCATTCTTCCTAAAACTAAAAACAAATCCTCAGACTCTTGAACTCGCACGTACAGACACTCTCGTTATTTTATCGTGGTGAGGATTTCCCATTGACTATGTTAAGCTAGTTGTAGTAGCTATACCTCAAGCCTACCTCAACAATGTTTGTCCTTTAATTTTGTAAATAAGTTATTTAGTAATTTTTATTAAGATGTCTTTGTGAAATCGTCATTTAGGCACTATACTTTACCTATTCCTTATGGTTGGACATAAGCTATAAAATAACAGTAATGGTGAACAAAATGTGGTCCTATACTTGTCTTTAACTACAGGGCAATTGCTCTCATTGATTTTAGTCATTGATTTAAAGTCAATTAATTTAAGCTGTTTTGTGTTTTAAGGCCCTTTAGAATCTTTTTTTTTTTTTTTTTTTTTTTTGTAATGGAGGCACTTTTCCTGCGGGTTGCAGACATACTAAATGGCTTCCCTGTGATGTGCCATTCTAGTACTGCACCTTCATTTTTCTGTGGTTACACTTTATATGACACCAGTCAACCAATAGGAAACGTGTGTTGCTATTTTGAGTCACGCCTCTCCAGTTTTATGAAGACCTCTATTTTCTTTGGCATCTGGCGGGCAGCTTTTAAGAATGAAAACCCTTCTTATGCCATGACCAGCTCACACCAAGCTTGGGTTAAAAACATCAAAAGTGCAGATTCCATCAGCAGTAATTATCAGGAGACATACGGATATGTCTGTAAACAGTTTGCGTGTTTTATGTGGCCCTGGAAAATATGTTACGCAAACAGATTCCCTCTTCTGAGATTCATGTCGAAGCTTTGTTTGGCTGCATGATTATTGTTTACAATGGCTGAACGAAACTCCTGAATTCACACCTCATCAAGCACAAGCACGGTTTGCGTGACTAAAGAGGACTAATTGTTTTCCTTAGTGGGCGCAACTGCAGTGATTGATATCACCCACCAGAGGGGGGAGAGTCGAGTAAACCTCAACGATCCTATGAAATAAGGCCTTGTGAGTCATTCTCCAAAGGATTATATCACACATGCCGCACTTGACAGATATTCCCGCTGATGGCCCGTCTAACTTTCCTCAGGCGGTGCCATGTCGTGCAGCCAGACCCACTCGGCATACATCAATTTCCATCTCGTGCCAGCAGAATAAACTCTGCATGTAATGCGCTTGTAATGTAGCATGTCAGACTCCATGAGCAATGTTGTCTGTCAACAACTTCTGTTGGTATTATCACGGCAGCGCTCAGCAAAAGACCTTGTTTACAGTCTCGTCAACTTCTGGTTACTTGTCTATTATCACTCGCTCTGGTGTCCCATGTTTATTCAGTGAACGTATTTGGGTTATAATAACAGTACCGAATACAAACAAATATTCCAGGAATCAACGGCCATTGTTCCTTGAGAGCGGCCCTCGACGTCACAGTTTTTGAGCGTATGCGTTTGAAGTGGGTCAGTCAAGGACAGGTCTGCATGACTGCCAGAAGGGATACAAAATACATTATGCTCCAGTCCCTCAGGGTAGAACTGGCAGTGGCGGTGTTTGGACCTGGAACAAGCCCAACTGGTAACAACAGTGCGAGCTGAAGCGTGTGAGTGTGTATGCTAGGCCAGAGAAAGGAGGACAGCTGCAGTGTAGGAGTCGGGACACAACCCCACATAGCTCCAGCGTTCACCGTCTGACCCCACTCTGGTGGGAAACTGTATCTATCTGTGTGCGACAGGGAACACAATGGGGTGCTTGTTGGCCCACGTGTATGAATTGTATGTTATTCCGAGCAGTGTGTGCTCTACTTTGGGAATTCCACCTACATTTCTTTCAGTTTGGACTTTGGATGCTCTTTCTTGTCCTGATGTGACTCCCCAAGAATTTGACCCCCAAAATGCTTGGAAGAAAGCTCATAGCCTCATATGCACCAGCAGTTTGTGTTTCAATAACAGTGAAAAGAACGTGATGGTAAATGATGTCTTCTTGGATCAATTTTTTGTTGGTCTTGGAACTACATTCCTATCAAAGAAACATAGTTGTGTATGAGATTGTGTAGCAATGACGTATGTTTCTGTTAGTCGGAGTGTTAATCTGACAAGTTTTTTGTTTAATTGCCAAATTTCTGTTGTATAAGTATACTACCCATAATCCCTAGAGATCTGACTTCAGTCCACCAATCAGAGAAGTTGCTGTTACTATGAAAACAAGAACCAGGTCATAACAGCTCAGCAGTGACCTTCCACTCCCATGAAAAAGTGTGAATGACAATGTCTCTATGCTCTTAAGCAATGTTCTATCAGAAAATTTTTGCAATAAACTTCGAAACTTTTTTACTTTATAATCAACGAGTACAAATCAGAAGTTTTATCGGCATATTTGCACATTCAACACAAAATGTCTTGCTGAAGTGAAAAAGTTGGGAATTCTTAGACTTTGTGGACTGAGATTTTGGATTATATGAATGTTCAGAAGACCAGCTGGACATTTTTGGCACTTGTTGTTGCCAGGATTGTAAATTAAAAGATGTGAGTGGGAGGCAAAATCGTGTGCTGATTGAAAATTTAACAGGGAGGAAGTGTGTTTCAAGTGTAAAATGGCTGAAAATTGCACTTCTCTAAACACTATAGTTTCATAATTTGGCTAAAAAAAAAACATACTGTGATTATTTTGACGTTGTGATTTGTACTTTTTTTTCTTTTCTTTTAAACAATGGGTTTTGAATGTTCCTTAATCCATGTCTTGTGAAATACTGGTGTATTTTTCTCTTTTTTTGATCTTGTGTCTTATTATTAGATTTGTATAATAACTTGTAACTGTTAAAAAAATTGTATCATGAGCATATGCGCAAATCTTGAGTGTAAATTTTGTGGTAAAATAATCCTATGGAGTTATCATGAACTGGTTTTTAGATACTGAGAGATACTACACAAAATGTATCTCTCCTTGACCTTTTCTTTCACACACATTCATTCAGTACTGTGACTTGATGTCTCTCACTCCTACTCTGCATAGTGTCATTTAAATGAGTCACTGAAGAGCATTATGTTCACTGTGAGCTCTGCCCAGCAGTCACCTGGCAAATGTTCATGAGGAGAGGAGACAGTTTGTTCTATCAGTGAGTGCATGTTTGTGAGAGTATGGTCATAACCAGTCCTCTGTTCAAACATGCTGTATTCTCTAACAGTCATGAGAACTGAATCTCTCCCTTTATCTATTTTGCTTCAACCCATTCTTTTTTTTCAATTCCGTGCGTGTGGTCTGAAAAGACTAGTCAGGTATAGTGATGAATAGAGTTACGCGAAAGGGACGAAAATGAAAGCAGTTAAAACGGATGGAAGGAGGTGATATTTTCTTTTTAGGAAACAGTGCCACACCCAGGCCTGTTCACGAATGTCTTGCGTACCCCTTGATTAATGTTGAAATGTTTTTCCTGTCAAATGGGTGTTGGACGTATCGAAATATTATTTTTGTTTCTCTTACAAGTTTTTTAGTTTTTTTTTTCATACCTAATAGTGACGAGTAATGGATGATTCTTTGTGAGGAGCAGCCTCAAAAAGAGTCAGTTTTTATAAATAATTCACCTGAAAATGAAAAATCTTACATTATTTATTCACTTTTTGTGAAAGACAGCATTAAGCACTGATAATCTCCACCTGTTTATTGTGCCTACAACACAGGTTGGATGTAAATCAACCATAATGACAAAACCTTAAGTTTTGGGTGAACTATCCCTTTAAGAGAAGCTAAGCAGTTTAGTCATTAATCTGAGCAAGAACACTCTTTCCCTAGTCCCAATATCCACCTATTTGCTTCAATCTGTTTTGAAACTAGTATCCCATTTTTGAATGTTACATCTAAATCTTTCATGACTTCTTTTTGTCCCTCCCTTTCAGCCGTCATCCCACTGACTGACTCTGAGCACAAGCTGCTAGCGCTGCACTTCGCGGTGGACCCTGGGAGGGACTGGGAGTGGGGGAGGGATGACAATGACAATGCTAAGCTGGCAAAGTAAGACCCTTCTTTTTCTCTCTCTCATCCTCTATCCACCACTACAGCAAGCTTAGCTAAATTAAATTAATAACTCGTGAGCGTGCTCTAGCTTGAACGAGACAAAGGTCAGGTAGGGCATCTAGCTATGTTTTCTTTACCATATGAAGGATTTAGAAGGGTTAAATCTATCCAGAAGGTCCCAGCACATGGCACCAGGCCACATTATCCTCACAGAGGTCGACCTGAACTTGAATGACTCATCTTAAAGCCTCATTAATCAATAATTTAACCCTGTACATGTTCCAAACTTTTATCAGTTGCATATTCCTGCATTTTGTCTTATGGTTAAGAAGATTTGTGTAGGATGTTTCCAGTGCTTTTCCAGAGGTCAGCCAATTAAACCATATAAATAAATTGCAGCAGCACCACCCTAGCTATGATTTACAGAAGAAAGAACTGAGACACAAAACAAACATCTGCGATAAAGCAACTGTAATGAGTTGGCCCCCACTCCATTGGCTCCATAGTGGACTGATGATGAATTCAAACTAATTGCTGTCATTCCCTGGAAACTAGATTTATGCACTGATTGAGTTCCTAGTTGCATGCCTTGTAATTTCTACCATTCCTTCACTGGCACGTAAGAAATGACCTCTTTCGAGCTGATAAAAACCTTTTGTGCTACAAATCAGGTTTTTAGAAAAGAAGTTTGACTATGTTCTCCTCTCACTCTAGTCTGATTCTATCACTGGAAGCTAAACTAAACCTTCTGCACAACTACATGAATGTAACATGGATTCGAATTCCTTCTGAATCAAGGGTAAGTGGTCATCCATTTATTAGATGACAAAAATTCTCCTGGTGGCAGGGCCATGTATATGTGTTTTGAGGGGCATTTCGGGCCACCCCCTGAAGCTCCAACACGCTTGACCTTATTTTTCACATATTGCTAAAGCCCTTGGTTAGGTGGTTATGTATATATGTAATGTTTGACAAAATTACTTTGCTAACGGTAACATCAGTTTTGAGTCCTTATGACCGATCTGTGTATTACAGGCTCCCTTGGCTCAGCCCGAGTCGCCAACTGCCTCTGCGGGTGAGGATGTACAGTCTCTGGCTGAATCCATGGATTCGGACCGGGAGTCTGTTTGCAGTAACTCCAACCTCAATAATGGAAAGTCAATGAAGGAGAAAGACAAGGACAAGCAGCGAAAGGACAAGGACAAAACACGGGCAGACTCAGTGGCCAACAAACTGGGCAGCTTCAGCAAGACTCTGGGCATCAAACTTAAGAAGAATATGGGTGGACTTGGAGGACTTGTCCATGGCAAGATCAGCAAGTCCACCTCAACAAATGGTAGAACGGTAGAGAATGGAGAGCAGAAATCTAAGAAAAAGGACTCCAAAACACGGAAAGGGAGCAAGGAGGAGTCAGGCCAGTCAGCCAGCACATCCTCCTCAGAGAAGACAACCAGTCCCTCGCCTACAGACCGTGCTTCTGGTAGCTCACCTGTTGAGAGACTGCCAGGATCAGGCAAAATCTCGGGTGATCGGACACTAGACAACTGGAAGTACAGCACAGATGTCAAACTCAGCCTGAACATCCTTCGAGCAGCCATGCAGGGTGAGCGTAAATTCATCTTTGCTGGGTTGCTGCTCACCAGCCATCGACACCAATTTCACGAGGAGATGATCAGCTTCTACCTAAGCAGTGCCCAAGAACGCTTCAGTGCTGAGCAGGAACAGAAAAGAAAGGCGGAGGCTGAGAAGAAGCCTCAGACCAATGGGGTGGCACTAAAGAAGCCTGAGCAGGAGAGTGTTTTCCAAAGGGAGCGTTCAGATAGCTCTCCACCCGAGAGTTGCTCACCGGTGTTGCACCCTAGCCATAATCTTTCCCTGGCTGTGAAGGTCCAAGAAAGGGGAAGCCCAAAGCTTGCTGCTTCTCCCATCCCAATACCCATCCCAGTTTCCGTCCCAGGATCCTCCATGTCCCCGGTCCCTTTCTCCTCCCCTAGTAACGGTGCTAAAAGACCCGGACCAGTCCCTGTTTCAGCTCACTATAGCCATACACCACCTATCCAGAGGCACAGTGTCATCCACCTGAGGGATGTCAATGTGCAGTCATCCAGCTATCAAGATGAGTCCTACAAGCCAATGATCGGCACTCTCAAAACTTGTGCCACCTACCCCCAGCAAAACCGCTCACTGTCCTCTCAGAGCTACAGCCCAGCCCGCTTGTCTGGCATCCGTACTGTCAATGCCGTAGACACCCTACCGTACAACATGCCTGGGGAACACAAGTCCCACACTTATACCAACGGCTTCAACACTGGCGACATCCGGGACTGTCTGGAGTTTGCAGATGAGGACCCGATGCCCCATGCCTGGCTGGGGCAGGACAAAACCAAAGGGCAGAGTGGTGTTTGCCCAATGTACTGTTTTCAGCAGAAACGCTGCAGGAGGGAGAACTGCACTTTCTATGGCCGACCCGAGACGGAGAACTTTTGCTCCTACTGTTATAGAGAGGAGCTGAAACGCAGGGAACGAGAGTTGAAGGTGCACCGACCTGGATAGCCCTGCAAACATGCACACACATATATAGCCACCCCTAATGTGCGTGAAAAGAACAGCAACACCACCACCTTTTTGCACTTTGCAAGTGATACAAAGAACTGGCATAACATTTTCCTACTAGATTTAAGATCGGCCTCCTTGTATTCTTGTTACTTTACTCTCAATAGCGGACAGACATTGCTTTACAATGACAGGAAGTGCAACCAGAATCAGTTTACAGCTTTGGCCAGAGATTGTGTTATTGTTTGTTCTATGTCCAATTGAATTCAGTCTTTTACTTGTTCTAGAGTAAAAGCTCTCGCCTGTGCATTTTGCTCAATTTGTGTTGTAAAACTCCTTGTACATGCAGAAAGAGATGTAAAAGCATATGTCCGTCTCTAATGGAGTTTCCCAAATCATAGAAAGGAAAACTCAGTTTAGAGCTCATTATAATGCAATACTTCACAGCATAGCTCTTTGGAATCTTAATGCCGAATAACATTGATTTTGCTGCGCATTGCAAATAATTACAAGGGAGGGAGGTCCACTGTTCAGCACTCTGATTTTTTTGAAAGCAATAAGTTTGTTAACAACCGCCACCCCTCCCCCCTTTTATCTATGCATTCATGACGTCAGCCATATTCTACTTTTCACCATATATGATTCTAAGGGATATCGATATGATTGTAAAAGGTCTGCTGTACAAGGATTATTATGGTGGAAAATATTCAATATGTTGCATATCAACGTGTGCTCTCAAATTGATCTTGTGACTTTCCATCATGCACTATATTCTAATATAAAGCCTTTTCATAGGAGGGTTTGCATTCCATCATGACGATATCAAATGAAACCTCACTATTGTGTGCTACTTGACATCCGATACAGTAAGCATTTGACTTCCACTCGTTGCTGTCTGTATTTGCAATATATAACAGTCATGCTAGCGAATGCTAAATTACAAGAACCACCTTACCTGAGGATACAAGTATGAAATGCAAACCCTAACAGTTTATACTTCAGCATTGGACTGGAGGTGGAAGGCTTATAAAACTGTGTATGTGTAAACTGTATGATACCTGTTGGCACAGCTCGGCTACAAGCAACTGGCAACTGTTCATCAACATTCTGTAGCTAACTCATGCTAACACTGCCATGCTTGCCTCTCATGTGCCAAAAAGGTCCCTCACCTCCATTTCATTTGTCCTCAGGTATATTAGTCTTAATCATATACATAGAAGCAACTAAATCTATAAATGTAAAATTGGTTATTTAAAGGTTCAAAACTACCTCTGAAAAGCATTTTAGATTTTTGACTCGTATATTACACAGCAGTGTAAAATCATGTTCTAACAAGGCAGTGTGGAATATGTCTACGTCTACCATGGAAGTGAAAAATGTGGTGACAACAACTTCATAGCCAATCAGAACATGTTTTACGTTTAATAGACCAATTATTGCACTTTGGGTGGAGCTGCCCAGTTAAACCAAGCAATGGACAAAATTTTCACATGTTGCTTGGTTCAGTCATTTTTAGTTTTGACATAAGCTCATATTAATTTACTCTTTGACAATTTGTGGAATATATTTAGCCAAATCTCTATGTGTAAAAACTGGACATTTAATGGCACAAACCTACCTTTTTCTTTTTCTTTCACTTCAGATTTTGCTCACAGTAGTGCAAAAACAGTCACAGACAACAACATGCTAAGCTGCTGACTGACTAACTGGCTAACAAATGTACCACAGCTCACAGTGCTAGTTCTCATTGTGTGCTAGAAAATCAGGATGTTACAGGTAGCTGCAACAATCAAGTTAATTAGCATGACTAGCGTGTTGGCCACTTTGTGTGCCTCTGCTAAGCAAAGGTCCCACCAAGTGCTTTTCTACTCAATGGACAAGATTATCATAAAAGCAGCGCTTGTTGTGTTTTGTTTTGTTGTGTGGCAGGCAGTGTCCAGGTAACCAACTCTGTGTCTCTGTGAGTGTTTTGTCTTTCCTGGCCAAGGATGTCCACTGCTTTGTTCTCTTCCCACATTTCTACACCTCCACAATTATGTCTTTTGCTTCCCATCCTCCTCTTTTCCTCTCCCTCCTTTATATTGGACAAGCTCATGGACTCTCACTGTCTCTGGAATTGTAAAATATGATTTTGTATTCATTTGAGAGTTTTACACTACTTTAAATTATTAATTTGCACATTAGGTACCGATGTAAATAGCAGGAGAAAAAGAGACAAAATAAGATTAGTTGTTAACTATGGTGTCCGTGTGGTTCTTTTAATTGTTCATGTGGAAGAAAGGTGTGTGCTTGAGTGCTAGCAGACTTGCGTGCCGGCGTGTGTGTTTTTCCTCAACGTTCTGTAATTTGAGCAGCGCCCTAGGCTGCTGTTTCAGTCTACAGCTTACAACACCCATATTAGACTGTCTGCCTTCTCATAGGATTGAGCCTTGTAGCTGGAATAAAATCCAGTATAAAAACTGCAGGTCTTTTGGTGGTCAGCTTCCATATCCCGGAAGTATTTGCTGTGAGTCGTGGAACATGGCATTAGCATGAAACACAGCACCAAACAGCTGCCCCTCAAGTCACCTGTCTAACATCTGCCCGAAAAAGCCTCACCCAGACAGTGAACTCTCTGTTATGTTGTACGTTCATTTAAGATGAACATTCATCACATACTGTGCATAGAAGGATTTTAATGGCCTGGGACAAAGCACAAATCAGGTCACTATAAAGAACAGGAGGTAAATAGCTTAATGATTTGGGTCACCCCATAGTCATGCATATTTTAAGCCTATCTACCTTTGAGACTCTGAGATATTATGAATTGTGAAATACACCGGTGGCTTATCTGTTATTGACAATTGTCATTTGCATCATGCGTGAGTAATTTTACGACTGTCGTGAAATAAGATACTCTCAAGTGTTTGTAAAAGGATCACAGACACTCGTTTGACTGAGAGCTGATCTACTGGCACATGGACACGAAGATATAATTCTGCTGATGTAGAAACTAGGGCACTTTGCCAACAACTGAACTGTTCCAGCTGTCATAAAGATGAAAAAAATGACTTTGCATTCAGCAAACCTGTTCACTGTAGTTTTGTCAGTGGATTTCACATTTAAAAGGGGGTCCTTATAGTATCAAGTAGTCAAGGGTTTTCATTTAGTTTATATACTAGTATGATGATAAAATAAACAATACAAATTTAAATTTAGTAATAATGGAAATCTCATTTATGTTTTATTTAAGCATCGTGGTCTTCGTGTATGTGGGGGAGGGCTGTCAAGGTTTTTTATTTTACCCAGACTGATCTCATGAAGTAGCGTGTGTATGACACGCCAATTCGTATTTCCATTTTTGGCGTGCTATCAAGACGCATAATCGCCTTTCAGCGTGTTTATGAACGCCGTTGACTTAACGTTATTACTGTATATATAAATATATGACTTACCTCAACCCCGTCCCTAAACCTGACCGTCACTGGGGTTAATGCCATTTATGACTGTTCCCTTACCATCCTAGGTAAAAAAAAGATACGACTTACCTCAACCCCATCCCTAAACTTAACCGTCACTGGGGTTAATGGCATTCATGACTGGAGATTTGACTGCGTGTACAGGCGGAATGACGCGGACGTTAATGGCGTAGACATACACGCGGATAGTTCAAAATGCGTTGAGAACACGCCACCTGACTCGAAAGTGGCGTGTATGTTTACGCAAAAGTCATGATGTCATGTTGATTTTACCTTACAATCGTACAGAAGCACTGGTACACAAAACAAATATGACTATATAATCTCTGACTTTCGCAAACAAGTCAACCTTTGCCGTGAGTTTTACTGACCAATCGTCATCCGCCATTTTTTCCAACAAAGCAGTCAGAAGAGTTAAGCCCTATTCGGACGAACTAGTTTTCCAGGGGTAATTCGAGAAATTTTTGTTTCACAGACATACTTTGTGATTTTAATCTCATCCGAATCTGTGTTTTTTTCTCACACAACCTCAGTAAAAATTCTAGAGCAAATTGCCTTCTGTTTTTCGGCAAACTCAGTGGTCCTCTGAGAAGTCTAATCCTGTCCAAATGCCGATGTCTGTGATTGCTGATGTTGTATTATTCTAATGCTTTTCCTCAAGTGTTTTTGACCTTCCTGAGCTACCGTTTGCGCACCAATCTTTGGCATGCTTTCATTTAGTTTCAATATGGATGGTGTCAAACTAAAAAATAACATATACAATCAATAAATAGAGCCAAATTATGGAAACTGTGAAGACTGCCCATTTTAATCAGTGTCAGGTAAGAGAAAAATGCTTAGATTTCTCTGCTCACATATGTAGGTTTACTATAAACAGCCAAAACGGAATTGTAACTCAAACATTGTTAAGAAAACTAGTCGAGAACTAGAAAACAACCTTGGTGGACTTGGATCAGACGCAGATCAGAAGCAGTGTTTCACTGCTTCTGTGGATTTATCAAATAAAATGACCCATAACGTGTGTTCCTAACCTCCTAACCAACTTGCACTGTAAACAAATGATGAAATTATGATTCAAGTTAATTCAGTTTAAGTATTTGAGTTCATATTAAAACCTCTGACTCGGTGGCGTGCACAGACTGCAATACGACACGCAATTGGCACTTTACTATTGGCGTTAAAAGGGGCAGGGTCTCATGTCCCCGGCCCCAACAACCTCCCCGCCCCCCTCCATCCGTTCACACCGCTGCTCTGACTTTTGATCAGAAACTTGGCAAATTCAAAATGTTATCTCTTCTGAATCTCTCAAAGAGACAGGTGAGTTTACTTGGATCTTTCTCTTAGAAAACTCTGAGACCTTTCCTGAATGCGAAAACCAAAATACTACTGACATCCGTGTAGCGCCCTGACCTCTCGAGGGGTAAGCAGAAGGGAAAAGATGTTTTTCTTTTCAAGCAGGCCACATGATCTCATCTCCGCTCAAGGCAGCACGCACAGACAGAGATGCAAAGAAACACTGCCATCTATCAATCAACTGAACGGCCCCTGTACGGCTCTCCCATGACCTAGTTTGCGTTTGTGCGCAGCTCTCTTCAAAACATCACCCTGCCTGTGATTTTTTTTTTTTTCTCAGATGTCTCTTGTCAATAATCCAACTTTCTCTTCAACGGCTTAGTTTAAAAAAAATGTGAGAAGAAAAACAGGAGAGAGAGACAGTATAAGGTCATGCAGTTCTTTGCTATAATGTTGTTTGTGATCCATGTCTTTCCTGCATTGGTGGAGAGGAAGACGGAGAATGTGCTCAACTTGGGCATGACATGCCGTCATGTGTTTATTGGACTGAATGTTAAGAGGTCTTGTGACACGGCAGCCAATGCTTTATTGTGCCTTACAGTACGTAGCAGGCAGCACGAGGCAGCGATAGTGTACCATTGTATGTGGCCCACAGCGGAAACACTTTACAATCGTGACTCTCCTGACTGTTGATACCACAAATAGATTTCATACTGTTAAATCAATAAGCAATTGTTTAACATGGGTAAAGAGGGGTTCTTACTGTAGCGGAGGACTGTAAAACTAGCTTGCCTGTGGTAATTTTATGGTAACATGCATGGCTTATTGCTTTTAAAAATGGTAATAAATCATATAAACAACAATAACAATAAAATAAGTGTTCATTATTTTCAATAAATAATGTTCAATAAAAAATTGTGGATAAATATTATAATTAATAAACCTATAAAATGTTACATTATGCAACACAGTACATGCATAGGCCTAACAGATGTTTCATCTTTTAACCTGATCATTTAAATTAATCCTTTAAATTATTTGTTGAACAAATGTTCAATAAATAACTAAAACGATTCATTTAAATAATCGAAAAAAGTTAAAAGTCTGATATGTATGTGCTGTGTTGAATGTAAAATTGAAAAACAAGAAAAAGAGTGATAATTCTGTTCTTTTCTCTACCATGTAAATCGTCCTCATGGTTTTTTTTTTTTTGTTTTGTTTTTTTCGTAGACTGTTTACAGCCAGGTTTAGCTGGTTAGCATGGCTATTTTAGCCCGGTAACACACTAAAAGCTAAAACATCTCCATGTAATTCTGTGTGCTATCCATTTTTGCAAGTATTTTCTAGTGTGTATGTTTTTTTTCTCCCTCCTTTCTGTGTGTTGTTTACACAGCAAGGGGTCAAGTTTAGAAGGTTAGCATAGCATTAGCCTGCTGGGCATGCTAAAAAGCTAAACGATCTTCCTTATAAATCTATTTTTGTATGGACTTTTCCCCCATGCGTTTTCTTTTTCAGTAGGCTGTTAATCCAGCTTATTTTTAATGTTATTTCCCTATAGACAGGGCCTGACATTAACACCCACCAAATGCGGGTGGATTTCAGCAGTGGAGTGTAACGCAGTCACTCCTACTAGCCACTTTGGCTGCTCGAATTTTATAATATATACATTTTACAATAGTTGAAAAACTGAAATAACAAGTGCAAAATGTTGTCAAAAATATAGATTTTTCAGTACATAACAATATATATTGAATACTCATTCATTTTACACAGAATATATACACGATACCAGCTGCACGTTCTTGTTCTCATTCTCTTATCTCCCCAACAGCAAGTTGACACACAAACCATCGTCCCCTTACTCGTTATATTTGCTCCGAATTAATATTGTTGCTGTTACAGGGCTTAAATTTCAGGGGAATGCGGTGCAGATTTTGTGCTCACACCCAAAGTGTATGTTATGTTTTAAGTGAATGGTTGAGAAAGAAAAAATGCATGTGTAACAGTATATTGGATACGTCAGATCTTAAAATGACAGCATCCTAATATGCCTGCTGCCAAATTATGAGATAATATTAAAAATATCTAAATGGCCATTTTCCCCCCATGTTACTGATGTTAAAATTGTGACCAGTGAAAATTATGAGTGGCTAGTAACTTCTAGCCCCAGTGGCTGGTAATTAATGTCAAGCCATGTAGCATTAAATTAATCTGAAGTCTTACGCATTCACAAAAAAATAGCTTAATTCCGCATTGCAAAATAAGGTGGATAACAAGGGGTCATGGCTAGCAGGTTAGTAAGTTCTATTCCTCATTTGTAAGTCACAATGAATAAAAGCTTAGAATACATGTAAATGTACATTTGTGTGCTAAAATCTCATATCTTTCATGAAATATGAGCTTTTGTCCTAACCATGTTCCTAACCTTTTTTTCTCTAATATAGATTGT